CGCCGGTTTGGGATTCGTCACCGGATCCAGCGGATCCAGCGGATCCGTCCGGAAACGGTGCCGGAGGCCGCTCTGGGCTCCTCTGGGCATCCCCCCCGGGGCCCGTTTTGTGAGGATGTCTCAGGCGAGGGCGCCGGTTTGGGATTCGTCACCGGATCCAGCGGATCCAGCGGATCCGTCCGAAACGGTGCCGGAGGCCGCTCTGGGCTCCTCTGGGCATCCCCCCCGGGGCCCGTTTTGTGAGGATGTCTCAGGCGAGGGCGCCGGTTTGGGATTCGTCACCGGATCCAGCGGATCCAGCGGATCCGGCGGATCCGTCCGGAAACGGTGCCGGAGGCCGCTCTGGGCTCCTCTGGGCATCCCCCCCGGGGCCCGTTTTGTGAGGATGTCTCAGGCGAGGGCGCCGGTTTGGGATTCGTCGGATCCAGCGGATCCAGCGGATCCAGCGGATCCGTCCGGAAACGGTGCCGGAGGCCGCTCTGGGCTCCTCTGGGCATCCCCCCCGGGGCCCGTTTTGTGAGGATGTCTCAGGCGAGGGCGCCGGTTTGGGATTCGTCACCGGATCCAGCGGATCCAGCGGATCCAGCGGATCCAGCGGATCCGTCCGGAAACGGTGCCGGCGGCCGCTCTGGGCTCGTGCTCTTCGCGCCGGGGGTGAGGATGACGTGAGTTCCACAGAAACTCCCTCAAATTATTATTATGATTATTATATTAGTATTATTATTATTATTATTATTATTATCATTATTATTATTATTATTAGTAGTAGTAGTATTATTATCATTATTATCATTATTATTATTACTATTATTATTACTATTATTATTACTATTATTATTATTATTATTATTATTCCGGAGTCGGTTTTCCGCAATCGTGTTAAGACTCTTCGCTCTTATACTGTCGGATGTCGAGCAGGGCAATGATCCCGAGAGGGTGCGCGATGCATCGTAGAACACGGCATAGCAGGGCTTAGAAGAGCACCTCATATCGTAGTATGTCATAGCACGGCATGGTGTTGCGTAGTGAAGAATTGCATCACAAAGCATTGCAACGCACAGAACGGCATCGCACAGCGGCACAGAACCGAACATGGCATCGCATGGCGTTCCAGATCAAAGCGTCGCATGGCATAGCATGGCGTAGCATTGCAGCTGAAGGCATGGCATCGCACAACGGAACACCACATACCATTGCATTGCATGCCGTGGCATGGCGCTTGAAATAATGACGCCATCGCTGCAGCGGGAGCACGATTCGGAACGAGCGGAAGCGCGGAAATGAGGCCAACGCTGCAGCGGGAACACGATTCGGAACGAGCGGAAGCGCGAACATGAGGCCAACGCTGCAGCGGAAGCACGATTCGGAACGAGCGGAAGCCCCAGAATAAGGCCAGCGCGTCAGCGGGAGCAACGTACAAAAAAGAACGAAAACCCAATTCCCGGGAATCCTCTGTGTAAGCAAGCAGTATGCAGAGGGGGACCGAATATCTTCCAGACGTCATCAGGGGAGCGAGGAGAGTGGTATTCACATTGTGTAATCGTGAAGCGAGGTCTGAAGGAAGGGGAACATGGGAAGGGAATGATGGAGAAGATCGAGGACGACGCCCCCGAACAGGAAAAACCTCAAACGGAAGGGGTCCACCGAGGGCTTCAAAGGGGCCAAGGAAGGCAGCGAGAGAGCCACGAAGAGCTACATCGGGGCCACGAAGGTGCGAAGGGGCAACGAGAGGCAACCGCGCGGCCACGAAGAGCATCGAGGGGCTCAAACAAGGGGGCCACCAAAGGCATCGAGGCCACGAAGGCAGCGGCGGGGCCTTCAAATCCGACTGCTGTATCGCGAGGGGCAGTGAGGGGCATCGGAACGGGCGAAACGCAGCGAGGTGCGACTGCGGGCCTTAGCCTCACCGGGTGGGTCCGGCGGGCGGACCCGGACGGGCGGACCGAGCGGACGGGTCGCGCAGGCGCGAGTCCTGCGTAGTTCGCCAGGAGCTCTGGGGCGAGAGCGCGACGCCCGAGAAATCTGCAAAGACGTTTAAGGCGAGAGCGCAATTCCTGGATGGCGGGAGCGCGGCGTCTTCCTCAATTGCAAGGAGGCCTTAAGCGAGCGCGCGAATCCTTGGGCAAAGCGCGGGGAAGCCCCGTGCGAGAGCGGGGGGGCCCACCGACTCGTGAGGGGGTATCGGGCGGGAGCCGTTGCTGCTGTGGCTCGGGGGCCGGAGGCTCAGTCTGAGCCTCACGAGTTCTCCTGCAGGGAAACCATGTGCGAGCCCCGGGGAGGGCACTTCGAGTGGAAAAATACGATGCGCGCCGGACGGTGGGGATCAAAAACGCTAGTGTTTCGAAAATTCGAGCTCAAGAATCCGCGCCGCGGAAGCCCACTTCAGCAATGCACCCACGGACAGAGAATGATTGTTCGGCCCCCTCACTCTGACATGTATGTGTATCTACAGTTTAAAAGGAGAGAGGCGAAAGAGAGAGAGAGAGAGAGAGACACAAGAGAGAGAAAGGGAGAGACAACTTATAGATGTGCATGTCTGTATTTCTACACGCCAGCGAACCCGAAAAGCTACATTGACAATTTGCGGTATGTACCTGCACATACAATTGAATGAGCTTGGGCACAATCGGGGGTGCCCGAGTCCAGGGGTGCTCTGGAAAGGCCCAGGACGACCCCAAGATGCCCCGAAGAGATCCATCCCAGGAAAACCAAGAAACACCAACGACTGCCTAAGATGGCCGCAAGACGGCCCGTGGCTCTGCCATGAAATCCACCTTCCCCTTCCACCTCTTGGACGCCCCCGTGATTGACGGCGAGAAATCGCCTGCGGTTGATATCCCCGGTCTGCAGGGGGAAAGTTCCCAGACTTCCGCCGATGTTTTTGTTGTTCGATCCGCGGCCCCGAAACCTGAACTCGTTCCCGGTAGGTGACTTTGCGTTCGGGAGCCGTTTTTGATGGTATAGCCAAGATTGACAAAAAGTTGGTGTCCGTTCCATGGGAGCCTACGCGGCCCCGGGCGCTGTCCGAGTTGGGTCTGAATTGGACCGGATTTGGAACACATTTGGGACCGGCTTTGGACCAGATTCGCCAGTTCGCCCCCTCACAAGGGAGACGAGAACAACGAGGAGGAGGGGGAATAGAAGGGCGAGGAGGAGGAAGGGCCACATGTGGTTCCAATGCGCTTACTGCAGCAAAACACGGACATCCGACAAAATCCGAGCGTCGGGGACATCTGAACGACGGTCATAAACGGGACTTACGCGAGATGGCATGGCGACCTTACACGGTGGCTTACGCGGGCCTCCAGCATGGCACACACTGTTTGGGCAAGAGAGCGTTCACGAGCGGCCTCACGCGGGACGCTTGCGCGCGAATGCTGGCGCAGACGACCCCGTTTCTCACGTCGCTCATCTGGGGATGCACACAAAAGCCCCGATTCCGCTCGGGGATCTACTGACCCGGGCCAATGTAGACCCGGGTCAGTCAGGCCGTGCAGGATCCTGCGGAATCCAGCAACCAAACCTGAGTCAGTGCACCCCTGGCCCTGCAGGATCCTGCAAGATCCGGCGCTCTGGCTGACCCCCGTTTGCATTTCGGCGGCGATCGAAGGGGGGGAAGCGAGTAGGAGAAGGCCTTCTCAAAGGTTCCGAAGTCCCCCAGCATTCTGGTAAGTTGTCTAAGTCGTCCCCGACGACAAACAACGTTTCTCAGAAGGCGCGCGGGCCTCCGAGAAGACCAGCCGCCTTCTGAGAAGGCCTTCTCCTTTTCACTTCCCCCCTCGCTCGCCGCCGAGTGTTGACCCCCGTCCCTTAAGCTAGAGGCCTTCTAGATGGGGTCCGAGTAGATGGTGTCGGAGGATCGCGCCGCATCGCGAATGCATCGCCGATGCATCGGCGATGCATCGCCCACGTGGGCGATGCATTGGCGACGTCGACGTGAAGCGAATCGGCCTCCACGCCGAGCTGCATCGCCGATGCATCGCCGACGCATCGGCGATGCAGCGCGATCCTCCGACCGCATCTACTACTCCGGCCCCATCGAAGAGGCCTAGATAAGCTCAAGTCGGGAGGGTCTGGGCGAACAAAAAAAGATATCGGAGAAAAAAACCCAGTCAAAGTCTTTTAGAACTATGGGGCTATGGGACCATTGGGCTATAGGGCGATGGGGCTATGGGGCTATAGGGCTATGGCACTATAGGGCTATAGGGGAAAGAGTCATAGGTCTACAGGGCTATAGGGCCACAGGGCTATAGGGCTGTAGTGCTATAGTGCTATGGGGCGGTGGGGCTCAGGGGCTATGGAACTGTAGCGCTATAGTGCCAAAGTGCTATGAGTCGAGGGCTATATGACTATAGGACCATTGGGATATAGGCCTATAAGGATATAGAGCTATAGGGGCTATAAAGGCTATAGGGCTATAGCTAGCCATATAACTATAGGGATATAGGGCTATAGGGCTATAAGATGATGGGGCTATAGGGCTATAGGGCTATAGGGCTAGGGTTATAGGGCTATAGGGCTATGAGGCTATAGGGCTATTGGGCTATAAGGCTATAGGGCGAAAGGGCCATGGGGGCTATAGAGCTATGGGGCTATATTGCTATAGGGCTCTAGGGCGATGGGACTATAGGGCTATAAGGCAATAGGGCTACAATGCTGTAGGGCCATTGAGCTGCATGGCTATTGGGCTATGGGGCTAAAGGGCTATAAGGCTACAAAACTATAGGGCTATAAGCCACCCGGGCACCCGGGCACCTGGGCACCAGGGCGGGCCGCGGAAATTGGTGACGCACCTCACCTAACCATATGAATCCGCTAGGACCCCTACAGAGGCAAGCTCTGATTGGGGAATTGTCAAAACATACTCCAAAGTAGTGGAAAAACACTCGAAAAATCGCCCCCAGAGTGTTTGACTATTTTTGAATCTTCCTCGTATTGAGGGACAGGCCCGACTTACAGATAAGCCCCGGCTCGCGATGGCAGCACGCCGAGCCGGGGGCCCTGGGCGCGAGCGCAAGGTCGAGCATGGCATCCTGCAGCCGCGAGCGCGGGTCCTCGGAGGCCGTGGGCGCGCCGCCGCCCGCCGCGGGCGGCCGTCGCCGCCGAGACGGGGGCAACAGCCCCTCTCGTCGTCGCCGTCGTCGTCGCGGTTGTCGTCGTCGTCCTCGTCGTCGTTCTCGTCGTCGCCGTCGCCGTCGTCGTCGTCGTCGTTGTCGTCCTCGTCGTCGTCGTTCTCGTCGTCGTCGTTCTCGTCGTCGTCCTCGTCCTCGTCCTCGTCGTCGTCGTCATCGTCGTTGGCCCCCCATCGGCACATCGAGCTGCGCGTCAGCGGCCTCGCCAGCGAGCTGTGCAGGCTGCAGGCTGGAGGGGGAGGATTGGAAATGAGCACCAAGACCAACACAGAGGGGTGCCTGCACCGAGGGGTGGTGATCCCAGACTTCGGCGTTGGTGGTAAATCGTCGGCCGCCTAGGAAGCCAGAAAACTGCCACCATCACCGAGATCGGGATACTCCTCCCTCGGTGGAGGCACACCGCCGATAGCGGTGCTGGCTTCAACCTCTAGGCCTCCGGAAGATAACTGCACACGGACAAAGAAGAGAGCCTTACGCGAAATGGCATACACCCCTACTGAGAGGTAAGAGAAGCTCACGCTAAGAAAATGGCCTGCATTCCAGGCGTGTTCTTGAAAGGCAGACCAGGTCCAGAGACACGAGAGTTCTACGGCAAAAGGAAGTTCCAGCAATAATTCCCAAGACCCAATGCAGCTTCGTGATTTTCAACAAAAAACGGGATCTGGAGTCCATGACAACTGCTGCATTTGTTGTTGAAACAACAACACAACAACAGAGAAGTATTCTGAGTGTAGTGACCGCGCGCGGTGGCTTACGCGGGCCACCCTCGCGGCACGCCACCTCGCGGACGCTGGCGCTCACGCGCGACCTCACGCGGGCAGCTTGCGTGCCGACGTCGGTGCCGACGGCCCCGCTCCTCTGCGTCGCTCATGAATGTGCTGCCTTCCAGCTCGGGGGGGGGCCTCGCTGGGCCCCGGAACGACCAAACAACCAGAGCCTGTTTTTTCTTGAGGCTTAGGTGAGCTTACTCGTATGATTGTTGTCCATTCATCCTGTGGTGTGCTGTGGGGTTGGGCCCTCGTCTTGAAGAGACAGCGCCACGCGCCCCTCCCAACTCCTCCTCCCGCTCGTCCCCTCCTCCCATCCCTACCTCTGCCCTCCGCATGTCCACCGTTTCGCCACACCCTTCACACGCTTCGTGGCCGCATAGGTAGCTCCACCGAAGGACGCAATGGCATCGTTCGCATGCGTCCCCGCCACCCAGCTCAGCACACACCTCACACGCTTCGTGGCCCAACAGAAAGCTCCTCAGGTCCCAGTGAAACCGTTCGCATGTGTCCCCGCCGACCATTTCGGCAAACCCCTCACGCACTTCGTGGCCCCACAGGCAGCTCCACCGAAGGGCCCAGTGGCACCATTCGCAGTCGTCCCCGCCCTCATTCCCGGCACACCACTCACGCGTTGCGTGGCAACGTCGGGGCCCCACCGAAGGTCCCAGGGAAACCGTTTGCATGCGTCCCCGCCACTCATTCCGGCGCACCTGTCACACGTTTCGTAGCCCAATGGGAAGCTCGCTCCACCGAAGGTCCCAATGGCGCCGTTCGCACGCGTCCCCGCCACCAATTTCGGCACACTCTCCCGTGGGAAGCTCGACCAAAGATCACAATAGCACCGTTCGCATGCGTCCCCGCCGCCCATTTCGGCACACCTGTCACACGCTTCGTGGCCCAATAGGAGCTCCACCGAAGGTCACAGTAGGACCGTTCGCATGCGCCCCCATCCACCCCACGGAGGGACCAAGGAGGCAAGAATGCAAGGATACCCTGGGGAAACTTGCCCATCCTGAATCTGCGGGTTGACTCTAGCGTATTCGTGCGGACCTCCACACGTAGACAGAAAGCGCAGGTCTGACACGCTGCGTTCGGCAAAACGTGGGCCAATACGTGGAGCCAACATGGCACGTATTGACACGGACGTTTGGAGCACGGCACGTGCTGCGTATCAAAACGGGCGCATCCAGCTTAGGACACCAGCCGTCGCGTGTTCTGCCACGGCTCGACGGGGGCCTGGGCCTCTGGGCCCGACGCAGGCCGTCGTCGCCGCTCGCCGTCGTCGCCGCTCGCCGCCGCTCGCCGCTCGCCTCCGCTCGCCGCCGCTCGCCGCTCGCCGCCGCTCGCCGCCGCCGCTCGCCTCCACTCAGCGCTGCTCGTCGCCGCTCGGAGAGGAGCCCGCGCGCGCGGGGTCCTCAAAAGCCGCGCCGCGCGCGGCGCCCCGCGCGCCCCGCAGCGCGTCCCAGCTGGCCCGCAGCGCGGCCCGCTGCGGGTTCACGGGCGCGCCGCGCCCGCTGGCGTCGGCTTCCTCCTGGCGCCGTCGTCGGCCCTCCGTCGTCGTCGTGGTCGTCGTCGCCGTCATGGTCGTCGTCGGGGTCGTCGTGGTTGTCGTCATCGTCGTCGTCGTCGTCGTCGTCGTCGTCGTCGTCGTCGTCGTCGTAGTCGTCGTCGTCGCCGTAGTCGTCGTCGTCGTGGTGGTAGTCGTTGTCGTCGTGGTGGTCGTCGTCGTTGTCGAAATACTCGTCGCCGTCGTATTACTCATGGTCGTCGTCGTCATCGAAATCGTCGTCGTTGTTGTGGTTATCGGAGTTGTTGTCGTGGTCAAGGCGTGGTCGTGGTCGTCGTCGTCGCGATAATCACCGTCGTCGGCGTCGTCGTGGTCGTAGCCGTCGTGGTTGTGGTCGTGGTAGTGGTTGTGGTCGTGGACGTTGTCGTGGTCGAGATGCTTGTCGCGATCGTTATGGTGGTCGTCGTCGTCGTCGCCATCGCCGACGTCGTCGATATCATGGTCGTGGTCGTGGTCGTCGTCGTGGTCGTAGTGGTTGTGGTCGTGGTTGTGTTCGTGGTCGTGGTCGTTGTCGAGGTCGTGATCCTGGTCGTGGTCGTGGTCGTGATCGTCGTCGTGGTCGCGGTCGTGGTCGTCGCAGTCGCCATCGCCGACGTCGTCGCCATCGTGGTTGCGGTCGTGGTCGTGTCCGGGGTCGTCGTCGTCGTGGCCGCGGTCGCGGTCGTTGTCGTGAAAGTGGCTGTTGTCGTCGTCGTCGTCGTCGTCGTCGTCGTCGTGGTCGCGGTCGCGGTCGTGGTCGTGGTCGTGGTCATCGTTGTCGTCGTCGTCGCTCTCGTCGTGGTCGTGGTCGTCAGCGTGGTCGTGGTCGTGGTCGTGGTCGTGGTCGTGGACGTGGACGTCGGGGTTGTCGTCGTTGTAGTCGTCGTTGCGGTCGTTGTTTTTGGTGGTGGCTGTAGTCGTGGTTGAGGTCGTGATCGTGGTTGCGGTCGTGGTCGTGGTCGTGGTCATTGTCGTGGTTGTCGTCGTGCCCATCCTCGACGTTGTCGTCGTGGTCGTGATCGTGGCCGTGGTCATTGTCGTCTTGGACGTCGTCGTGGAAGTGGTCGTGGTTGTGCTCATGGTCAAGGTCGTTGTGGTCGTGGTCGTGGCCGCGGTCGTTGTCGTGGACGTGACCGTGGTCGTGGTCGTCGTCGTCGTCGCAATCGTTGTCGCAGTCATGGTCGTGGTCGTGGTCGTCATGATCGTCATGGTCGTCGTCGTCGTCGTCGTCGTGGGCCTCCTCCGGGGGGCGGGTGTCTCGTCGCCACGGCTGGCTCAGCCTCGCAATCCTATGCAGAACGCGCCCTTGGATGGGTCGGGGGGTCCATTTGTGTTAGAGCCCCCTTTTTATGGGTCCACGAAGCGTGTGACAGATGTGCCGAAATGGGGCGGGGACGCCATGCGAGCGCTGCCACAGGGGCATTCGGTGAAGCTCCCAATGGGGCCACGAAGCGTGCGAGGGACGAGCGGCGATGATGGCAATGAGAATAACGATGCGCAGGACCTTCGGTGGAGCTCCCTATGGGGCCACCGAAGCGTGTGAGGGGTGTGCCAAAATGGGGCGGCGCCACCATGCGGACTGCGCCACTGGGACCTTCGGTGGGGCTCTCTATGGTGCAACGAAACGTGTGAGGGGTGTGCCAGAATGGGGCGGCGCCGCCATGCGGACTGCGCCACTGGGACCTTCGGTGGAGCTCCCTATGGGGCCACCGAAGCGTGTGAGGGGTGTGCCAAAATGGGGCGGCGCCACCATGCGGACTGCGCCACTGGGACCTTCGGTGGGGCTCGCTATGGTGCAACGAAACGTGTGAGGGGTGTGCCAGAATGGGGCGGCGCCGCCATGCGGACTGCGCCACTGGAACCTTCGGTGGAGTTCCCTATGGGGCCACGAAGCGTGTGAGGGGTGTGCCAACCAATAGGGGGGGAAGGAGGAGGGGGAGGAGAAGGGGGAAAGGAGGGACGCGCGGCGCTGTCTCTTCAAAACGAGGACCCAATACCACAGGATGGTTGGGAACAAAAAAGGAAGCGCGCCATGCCGAATGGCTGCTGATACACTTGCACCCAGTCCCAATCCCAACTCTGGAATGTTAACATACCACCTCCCCTTCTTGTGTAGCAAAATGCGTCATGAATTATCCCACACCGTGGGATTGTGCTCCAGGCGGCATACAGGGTGCAACCTATCGTATCTGTAATTTTTTAGCTCATGCAACCTTCCCCCTATCTGCGCTCACTCCCGCGAGTTTCGACTCGCGCGGGCACGCCGAGTCCGTGGCACGTCGCAAACAGAAGGATAAAGATGCCACAGAGACGAGTGTCACGGACTCGGTGGGTACGGCATGGATGGGGCGAACAAAGCCTGCCCCCCACCCTGTCTATGGTTCCATCGGGTGGTCCAGGAAAGGCACTTGGACACAAAACCCACCGAAATTGTCCCCTTCGCCGTGTGTGACTCCTCCCACAGACCGTACAGGCGCAGTCACACCAACTGCGGCCAGAGACTCTCGCTGAGCGTGTGGCTGCGGCGGTCCCAGCGACACGCTATGCGCTGCAAGCGTACAGCGTGTCGCTCCGCTCCGCGGGGTGGGAGGCTGCGAGAAACTCGGGACGGTGACGCTTGGGGGCTGGGATGTGGTTAGCGTGCCGGGCCAGCAAGCCAGCGGCGCGCCGCGCCAAGCAAGCGAGCAAAGCCCCCGATCGGAAGGTCGGCGCCCCTCCTCAGAGGCCTCTGAGAACTCTCCGCCGGGCGGTGGGGCAACACCTTCCACCTGGCGGGGATTGCTTTCGTTGAGGGCTGGACCCTTCGCCGTGCTGCCCCCTCCCCGCGCACCCTGCGCGGGTCCTCTGCCAAGAGCTCGGGGCAGAGGCACATCTGGGAGAACAGCACCGACGTCAGCTCCTCGCCGCTGAACGCCTCTGAAGGGGGCCTGGGACACACACACACACACACACACACACACACACACACACGTACACACACAAATAAACGAACACAAATCCGAGGATCCCCCGCAGTTTCTCACAATTTCTGCATGTTCGTCGTCTCCCCCACTTCCCGTAAATTATCTTCCCACAATTTTCCTGGGGATCGACGACTCCTTGTGTCTGCGTGCTTTTCCCCCCTGAACCTCGGCCGCCGCCAGGTGGCCCGCCCGTGCCGCCAGCGCCTCGTGGAGCGCCCGTAGGCCAGGCCCCGCCGAGGGCGACGCGAGGGAGCGGGGCAGCTGCCGGAGGCACCGGTAGGCGCCCGCGACCTCGCCAGGGCCCAGGGCCGGGCAGAGCCGCTCCACGTGCGGCGCGACGCCGAGCAGCGCGCCGGCGAGGAAGTGGGGGCAGGCGCCCCCCCTGCGCCTGCGGGCGTCCTTTACCAGACTGGAACATATCCCCATCCCTATGCTGGGCATCGCATCATCACGATGCCGATCTTATGGGATTCCCTTAGTTTCTGAGGGCGCATCCCTAAGATTGTCATCGACTTTAGGCGTGCCAATCTTAGGGATAGGGATAAGTTCGAGGCTGGTGAGTCCTCGGCGGCCTCGCCGAGGCACTCCAGCAGGTTCAGGGCCCACTCGCCTGTGTCCACTCCGCCGCCGAGCCGCCGCAGGACCTCCTCGCCGATGCGCGCCTCGGCCCCGGGCGCTCCCGCGAGGCCCAGCTGCGCCAGGGCCTTGGCCGCCTCCCCGAAGAGCGGCCCGCTCAGGCCGGAGAGGCTGACGTCGCGGTCGAAGGTCGCCAGCAGCTGCGGAGGCCGCACCTGCAGCCGGGCACAGGAGACGGCCAGCTCGGCCAGCCTCGCGGCGGGGAGCTCATGCGCGCACGCGGGCAGCCGGTGACTCAGCATGGAGACCACGGCCGGATAGACGAGGAAAAACTGTGCGTAGGCGTAAGCCACCAGCGCGAGGTCGATCGCCCCGAGGCGCTGCGCTCGGGAGACCACCACCTTGGCCGCAGCGGTGAGGAGCACCTCGTGGCACAGTCCGACCGCTGCGAAGGCGGCGAGGAAGGCGGGCAGGTCGGGGGCGCCGAAGTGGTGCAGCTGCTTGACCTTGGCACGAAGCGAAGCGGGCCCTCAGAGAAACGAGCCCTGGAAACGGGCCCCGGACCGCCGGGCCTTCTCCAGGAGCAGCTCTGCATCCCGAATCGCTTTCTGACGGCCCTGAAATGGCCCTTGGGGTACAGAAGCAGCGACACATCTCAGGGGTCGGTTCCCTCAGCAACCTTTCCCAAAACCCCGACGGCATCATTTTCGAACAGGTCGACCCCCAGCGGTCCCGACCCAATCCCTGGGAAATTTTGTTGTTGGTCCAACGGCCTGGCGAGGCCCGTTCTCGATACCGAAAACTCGCCAAAACGGCAGAGAGACTCCGTCGTGGTACATTTTACGATGCGGTGGGGGTCCGGGTTTATGTTGCCCCCATCGTACTTCAGGACCACATCCCAGAAGCACTTTTCTGAGCACCCAGGAAGTATCGAAACAGTGTCGAGCGAGCTTCGCCTCCCAGGCACGCGACACTGGAGACGAGGGCGCCTACGCGCGACCGCACGCGGGCAGCCTGCGCGCCAATATCGGCGAAAACGAACCCGTTTCCTTCCGTCGCTCACAGGATATCCGATGCCCTGGCCGGGGCGGTGGACCGCGCTCTGCCCGAGCCGCGGGAAGAGCCGCCGGTCCGCGAGCCGCACGCGCGAGAACGCCACGGCCACGCGCGTCAGCTGCGGCGCGGAGGCCCCCGCGCAGCGCAGGCCGAAGGCCGCGGACAGGCGCGCGTAGACGGGCAGCGCGGGCAGCGAGGCGTCCGCGAGGGCGCCCACGAGCTCCTCGCGGGCGACGACAGCGCCGACGAAGGCGCCGGCGACGGCGACGACACCGACGACGACAACGGCGACGACGACGGCGACGATGGCGCCGACGAAGGCGCCAGCGACGACGACGACGACGCCGACGACGACGACGACGACGCAGACGACGACGACGACGACGACGGCGACTGCGACGACGACTCGTCAGGAAAACACATCTCCGTATCCGCGGCCTCGCGGGCCAGGCCCCTGGGCCGCGACCCAACGGAAGATGTTCGCGGATGACCCGTGCGGAACGCATCCGTGCGACCGCGTATACGCGGGATTTCGCCTTACAGTTCAAACTGCGAGGGCGCGGATACGGATGTGTTCGCCGCTCGTGAGCTCCGCCATGTCGGCGGTGGAGATGTCGCCGAGGCGTTCGCTCAGCTGCGCGCCCAGCGCCTGCAAGAGGCAACTTCTGGGAGGCCACTCGTAAGCACGACTTGGGGCAAAATCCGCCGACCCTGTCGGCGTGCGTGAGGGGTTTCTCCGTTCGCGTCGTGTTTTCTTTCCTCCTCGACTTTCTCTACCCGCATCCAGCTTCCACTCACCGTTCTCCCGCTCTCCGTCAGCAGAGTCCTCTTCCTTGCACATGTCGTGCCAAGCAATTGAATGAATGTCGTCAATACTTCGAAGAGAAGCCCCTTCCCTTTTCCCTTCCTCGGTGCGGGGGGGGGCGGACCCGTTGGGGTCCCGGGAGGGTCCCTGGGGGGACCCGGGGGGCCCCCCCCAAGATCCGACTCCCCCGGCAGCCTTCGAGAAAGCCCGGAGGGCGTCGCGAGGAGGTTCTCGTCCTCATCCGCCTCCCCCTTCTCCTCCTCCTCCTCCTCCTCCTGCTCCTCCTCCCCCTCCTCCTTCTCTTCCTCCTACTCATCATCATCATCATCCTCCTTTTCCTCTCCTCCTCCTGCTCCTTCTAACCTCCTCCTCCTCCGCCTCCTCCTCCCTCCCCTCCTCTCCTCCTCCTCCTCCTCCTCCTCCTCCTCCTCCTCTCTCCTCCTCCTCCTCTCTCCTCCTCCTCCTCCTCCTCCTCCTCTCCTCCTCCCTCCTCCCCTCCTCCTCCTCGTCCTCGTGCTCGTCCCTGTCCTCCTCCTCCTCGTCCTCCTCCTCTCCTCCTCCTCCTCCTCCTCCTCCTCTCCTCCTCCTTCGCTTCCTCCTCCTCCTTCGCTTCCTCCTCCCCCTCCTAGCCCCTTCGATCAGGGTCGGCGGCACCGGCCGTCAGGCCTCTCCAATTTTTAAACCCGATAGCGGAGCCGTCGAGCCGCGCTAGCCCAGACTTCGCGCAAGATTCAGCTGGATTCCACCGGACCAGGCGGAATTTCGCAGGATTCAACCGGATCGAGGCTGGTTTGCGACCACGGACATGCCAGCGCCGATGCTGAATTTGGCCTCAGTGGTCCTGGCCCAAGGTGCCCCCAGCTCGTCGCCCCGATTGGGGGTCTCTGGGGGCCCCCTGGGCCTCGTGATGGGGAGCTCTGGACGCCATCTGCGCCTGCCCTGGGGAAGCTGGGGCCACCTCGGGCCCGTGCCGCTTCTGGCAGCGCCCGACGCCTGGAGGTGGCGTTCCTCCAGCCTGGCCCCCCCCGCGTGCGCCGCCAGCGCGCGCAGCAGCCGCACGCAGTCCTTGCCGTCCATCTCCTCGACGCGCCGCAGGGCGCACTCGAGGGCCAGGGCGACCGAGCGCGCCGGCAGCGCCCCCGGCTGCGACAGCAGCAGCACCAGCCTCTTGGCCGGCAGCGCGGGCAGGCTCAGAGCCGCGGCGGTCTCCGCGTCTGCGGCGGCCGCCCGCTGGCCCAGGGCCACGCCCGCGTCCGCCGCCGTCACCGCCGACCGCACGACGAGGCCCACCGCCACCAGCGGGGCGTCCTGCGGCCCCCCGGGACCTCGTGGGTGCGCCCAGCGGGGCGCCGCTCCGGAGGCGCGCGCAGCATGTCGACGCAGCCGGCGGGCCAACGCTCCAACGGCCATCGGCGGGGCATGTCATGAGCCGGGAAGCTGGAGACACAGTCAGATCTCTGGCGGTATGATGGTTTCAATCTGGGCGTTCTTCCTCGCGGCCTCGAGGGCCCGCTCTTGGGCCCTGGGCCCCCCTCACACTGGAGAAACCGCACCCAGCAAACATTACTCGACGCAAGGTTGTCCTGGCCGCGACCGATGAGATGAGGTCGGTCGCTACACCGAGTTGGCTTCAGATTCCGATCGCTCGCGACCGCTTGAGAGTGCCGATCGGTCGGCATGGCCTCCTATATGCTCCAGGGGTTTGAAGGGAGTGACGAACCCTTGAGGCCACGCACTGAAAACCACACACATCGCCAGATGACCGGGCACGCGGCCGCATCCCCGTGCGGAGCGTGCGGGAGCCTCGCGGAGCACGCGGGGCCAGGCGCTGCAGGTGCGGCATGTGGCCATGGGAATGTGAATCCACAGATCTCTCTCGGCCGGGCTGTCGGGCGGGTGCCAATATTGGGGGTGACCCGAATGGGGGGGACAAGAAAAGATCCCCGAATGGGGCACTTTAGGGCCCCTTTGGGAGCCAGCAGGGTCCCAAAAGGGGCGCCAACGTGCCCCTTGGGGGGCCCTTTCGCTCACCCCCGATTCGGGCCAAAACCCAATTGGCACCCGCCTGAGGATGGCCACGCTGTGCGCGTATCCGGCGTCCCAGCGGTGGGGCGGGCCGGCGCCAGGGACGCAGGCTGGAGAGAGGCGGAGCGGGAGGAACAACAGGCGAAGAGCGCGGGTGCGGGCAGGCGGCGGACGGGGGGGGGCCCAGGCGGATAAGCTCACCATCGCCTGCTGACCCTCCCTCTGTCGCCCGGCACTCTCCCACCTGCCCCCAAGCCTCCACTGGAGAGGAAGAGCGGAGAGCGGACGGAAGAAAGCAGATGTCAAAGAGAATCAAAGGACCCATAATTCGAAGACGTGGCCTTACTTCGGTCCTCGTGATTGCTCCAGGGATGATCAATCTGGGTGGTTTTGGCTTGATACATCTGTTAAAAAGACCCCCGATCCCCTATCTCTAAGATTGTGTGCCAGTTGCGACCCCAAAGGTTAGGGGTCCTTCTACTACCAATCCAAATGGGTGGACGCCCTGTTCCTGAATCTGCAAGCCCCAGCCCGAATTCCGTTCCGCCTACTGGGAAAACGGGGGCAGGGTAGCGGCATGTGTACCATTTCCTCCTCTGAGCTCTCGAATCCGCAGGCCCCGTTCCACCTCCAGCACCCGAGGGTGGGGTGGGGGGAAGGCGTGCCAATAGAGGCCTTCCACGTTGGGTCACAGTAGATGGGGTCGGAGGATCGGCGATGTATCGTTGGCGTCGGCAATGCATCGGCGACGTCGGGGTGAAGCAACTCGGGTTCCATATCGGGCCGCATCGCCGATGCATCGGCGGTGCGGCGCCATCCTCCGACCCCACCTGCTCGGACCCAACCTGGGAGGCCTAGACTTCAGCACCCGAGGGCTGGGGGAAGGCGTGTAAAAGAATCGCACGCAAGGGTGGCGGCACCCTGCGGGCCACCCGCGTGCATGGCACGCTTGCGAGCTGTAGCCCGGGGGGACCGTTGTTGATTTCGTTCCCGGTAACGGCCATTACCGGGGGGGGGGTCGGGCGGGAGGGTACCCGTAACGGCGGCCGCGGCGTGCGCCCTCAACGGTGCGTCCGTGCCACCGGCGCATCAATCGCTTGTGTGCACCGCACTCCCTGTGCACACGACAATGTCCAATGCCTGCTCGCAACACGGCGCCACCTGTGTACACACCACAGTGCCTCCATACACCACAACAGCCGCGTGCACTGCAGCACCGCGTCGCCTATGCACACCGCGTTGCCTGTGCATACTCCAGCAGCAGTTGTTTATAATTTGACTCGACCGACAACCATTGGCTATAATTCGGACTATTCGAAGGACGCCCTATGGAAAATGAAGGAGGAGGAGGAGGAGGAGGAGGAGGAGGGGGAGGGGGAGGAGGATGAGGATGAGGAGGACGAGGAGGAGGAGGAGGAGGAGGAGGAGGAGAGGAGGAGGAGGAGGAGGGGGTGGAGGAGGAGGAGGAGGAGGAAGAGGAGGAGGAGGAGGAGGAAGAGGAGGAGGAGGAGGAGGAGAAGGAGGAGGAGGAGGAGGCACAGCGTCGTGCCGCGAGTTCTCCCTCACTCTACGCTGCCACCTGAGCCACCCTATTCAGATCAGCGGCTCTTCGAGCGGCTTTCGCGATTGACAGGGCGACACTCGAGGCCAGTTGGGGAGCATCAGGGGCTCTGTACGCATGCAGCACGCGGTGGATCTGAAACATCAATGCTACGTTCCTCGTGCGCTCAGGCGGAGGGGAAACGAGGGAGAGAGCAACGAGAGGGGGACAGGGGCAGAGGGCCTGGAGACATCCTCTCGACAAGGCCTCGGAAGTGAGGACACGCGAAATAATGCTTGAGGCTGCATCTCGCTTTGTCGCAGCCCAACACACACCTACGATCAGGATTCTGGAGACGGGTGCCGGTTACCCATCCACCCAACCAAGTCTTGGCGCATGCGATTCTCCAGGCGGGAGGGACCTCCGCGAGGCACGCACGCACCAATCCCCAATCTATTTCAGCAAGCTCTCTGGGGGCTACTGGGAACCAGATGGGGAGCCTCCTGCAAATGAGCTCCAGAACCGAGGCCTTAAAAGCCTCACTCTGTACTCGGATACTGATGACTCTACTCGGAATTCGACTGTGGCGATCGTCCCACCCCACCTCACCACCCCCCTCCTCGATTTCCTCACGGACGCGCGGCCAGGCTTCTGCGGCCAGGCGCGCGTCGAGGGGCAGGGACGTGCAGCTGATCCCATCACTCACCGCTCTGATCATGTGGGCAACCGACGGCGCATGCCAGAACGCGGGCCAAGGGGTCGCCACAGCCCTGGCCAGGGGTAGCGTTTCCATCGCCACCTCGTCGATCCTGCTCGCAACCCCGCGCCACGTGGAGACCGTCGTTGCACCAGCTCGCATCTTCGAGGCCAGCACGAACGCCTTCACGGGGGTGATCTGCGGCAGTCCGAGAACATCCAGGTGGAAGAGGTCGCTACGCCGAAGCAAGCTCCCCGACGCCCGCAGGAGCCTGGTGAGAACGAGCTGTTCGTCAGCGTGCATGGCCTGGGGCAGCGAGTACACCTGCGTCTTGTAGCTCAGCGCCGTGATCACCTTTGTCTGGTAGTCGCGGAACAGCGTCGTTGGGTCCAACGGGGTGGCGGCCGCAACAGCGGCGCGTTGGCGCCACTTGGTGAGGGGGGCCGCCCACTGCTGCTCCAATGTCACTGCTGGCCCAAGAAGGCAGCCTAGCATCTCGAGCTGCGACGCGACCGAGAAGCGTGCCCAGCCAGGGCATACTGATTCCAGCAGCTGCTGCACCTGCAAAAGTTCATCGTGGGAAAAAGGGGCCCTCTAGACTCTAGAGGGACACATACGCACTTCGGGATCTTGAGGGAAAGTCCTGCCAGACGTTCGCACACGCGAAATAGTCGACCCAAGCATCGCACTCCTTCAAGATTGACCGTCACCGCTCCGATGTCGTCAGCACACCCACGAGCCAGGCCTCTACGCCGAGACTCGAGCTGGTCCTCGTGAGCAGCAGTGAGCGGCGAGACAGCCAGAGCGAACACCGTGCCCGAGAGGGGGTCGCCTTGGAGCACGCCTGACCTGATAGCGAACATGACCGCGCGCATCGGAGACGTTTCCAGGCCGCGGGCGTCCCTGCACGGGATCATGATCAGCTCGAGAGCGCCGCTCGTTGGACCCCAGTGCTTGAGAACCCACTCGGTCCAGTCGTGGCGGACACTCGGGAACGCCTGCGCAAAGTCGAAGCTGCAGAGGAAGGGGGGCTTCCATGCAGGGGCAGCTGGCCCCTGACTCTCACGCGCTTCCAACGAGCGCATGGAAGCAATGCGGGCGAGGCCGCCCATCTCGATCGCATTATCTATGCAGTTGCGGCGCTGCACGAAACCTCTCTGGCTGAGAGGGGCCACCTTGGCAGCCGCCGCGCTCGGGCACCTGTTGGCGGCGCTCGCGATGGCCTTGGCGCCCGCGTTCTTCAGCAGGGGCCGCGACCACCTCCGCGCCCTCCGAGTCGAGGGCTCGGGGGGAACGCGCATGCTCCATCACTGAAACCAACATTCATGAGTCTTCCACTCGCTGCCCAAATCCACGGCTGCCGTGATGACGTCGACGCCAAGACGGTGGGCCCGCCACGCAGAAGCAGGAAGCCCGTCAGGGCCAGGCATGGCGGGCTTGGCTCTCGAAAGAACCATCCGGATGTGCTTCGACGACGGCAGGGGGATCGCGTCCCAGTCAGGCTTTGGAACGCCATACTTGGCAAGGAAGGCTTGCGCCTGGCGGGCGCGCTGCTCACGCTCAGCGGGCGCATGGCTCGGCGGGCAGAAGACCTTGCCCCAGTGTGCCGCCAGCCCAGTGTTCAGCTGCTCCATCGTCTGGGTCTTGATCCCGTCGATACGGAGAGCGGCGAGGTAGCGGCGGGGGGGGGGGCCGAGCGACGCTGGAGAGCCCGCAGCTGGCCGCGCAGCCGTCCGTCGGGCGATTCTTCTAGCCCTTGCCGTAGCTCAACACCCGAAGCGTTGGCTTCCTTCCTCTGGGCGAGGGTGTGGCGGCGCTTGAACTCGGGGGCATTCGTGGGCCGCCCGCCCGCCACCTCGTCGATCTCCATCATCTCAGTCAGCCATGTGTGCCCCCCCAGCAGCATCGCGCCCATCTTGCTGTCACGGCGAGCCAGAGCGCGGGCAGCCTGCCTGTAGATCATGGCAACCGAGTTCTTGGACCAAGAGACATGGCGAAGAAGTAGATCACGCACCTCGCGGGCAGCAGCTTGCGAGATGCGGGCGCGTGCACGGCATCGGATATCCGCCGACATCTCCTCCAACTGGCACGCCTGAACATACTGCTCGGTCCTCCATGTGAAATTCTCGGGCTGGCTGGCGCGGGCCG